AAGACATGACTGAAACCTAGCAACTTATCCCTGTTCAACCCCAGCATCAAAGATGCAGTAAGTTCAGAAATGTTAAAGCATTGCAATACAGATAGATGCCAAGCCCATCAAAACACGCCACACTTGTTGACTGTACGACGTCAGGTGCTATTGCACACCTTGTATATAGCGACAATCGGTGAGTATCATATCTTGCATGACTATATGAAAGTATGTACCATAATGCAAAATATACATGAAAATGAGTAACATGTACCATACAATATCATCATCATCATCATCATCATCATCATCATCATCGTTAACTACACTTTTTAACTAGATTCATATCATCAACATCGTCATTGGAAGTGTTAACTACAATTTAAAACTAGCCGTATATAATGCCATAATCACTTCAATGACTTCAGTATTCCCTGATAAAAAAAAATACTTCAAGCAATATTTCTATGAATCCAACATGGAGTTTAGGATGGGGGAAAACTGAGGGTATTCCACAGTGAGGAAAAACAGTCCCTTACTTCACGAATGTTCTGACAGCACCATGAGATACACTGAGGGCTGTAACCATGGTAACAAGGACACAATTAAAGGAAGGAACCTTAGATACAGTAGTGTTTCACTTTTTTTAGGATGTTGTGTGTAACGATCCACACGGTCAGGGTATGCAGGTCATGTAAATACCCTCCACCCATTCATTAAGTCGGCGCTTACGATCAGCATAGGTTCATGGGGACGTATTTTAGTATTATAATTTTAATCTTGGAATCCCTACGATTTGTCCACTTGCCAAAGATAGGGTCACTGGGATTGTACTGAGAAAGGGCAGCATACAAAAATACAAATACCAGCAGACATCCGGGACAGAGGATACACCGCTGTTACAACAGGACAGGTATCCAGCATGTTGGAAACACGAAACATTCACGGACGTGGCGTCAAACTTCGTTGAGGACAGTCCTTTGTTCCTAGACCTACAAGATTGGAAATGATACGAATGATCGGAAGGAATGTTTACAACTGCTTTTATGTTTATGTCACTCAAAAGAGTGAGTGAGTATTGTTTTATGCCGCTTTTAGCAATATTCCAGCAATATCACGGCGGGGGACACCAGAAATGGGCTTCACACATGGTACCCATGTAGGGAATCGAACCCGGGTCTTAGGCGTAACGAATGATCACTTTAACCACTGGGCTACCCCATCGTCTCCTTCCACAGATTGAAATTAAGTGTTTTGAAGCAGTGATAAAATATCCTGTTTGGTCCAAGAAAAACCTCCCAAGAATATTATAAATTGTGTATTTTGAAGAAAATCTGTCTCTGACAAAAGATCCCAGGTATCCCCGAGAGTATTAAATGGTGGACCCATTGGAGATTCAAGTTATGCTCTTATTTTGAAGTAAACAGTTTCACTGCATAGTTTCACTCAATATAAGTTTCCTAATTGCCTATCTTACTGCATCTGATATATAGGCTTGTTCATGTTAATGTTTGGCCAATTCTTATTTGCATCAAACAATACTAGCTTCATCTTGATTCGGGCTGGGGTTTTATAAAATAAAATAAACTATCCCTAAAAATGCTTGACAAAAATAATTATGCTTCATATTGTTGGAAAAGGAAGAAATTGTCTGCCACAAAAATTACATTGATGCAAAGTGCTTACTAGAAAAAAACCATTTTGGCTCATATAAAAATATATCTGGTTTTGCAGCTGTAGCTGAACAAATATCGAGTCTCCAGCCCCCCAGCCACCAATAAACAATATGAAACTGCCTGTCCCCAAGGTGCCATCTGGCAATCTCTCCATGGGTCAGTAACGGCAGGTGGACCACGAGCAAACCTTGATCTTCAAATTAAAATGATGGATGTGTGGGTTTGGGGGCAAACTTGATCTCACAGTTTCTTCCCATCTCATTTAAAAGTCTCAACACTCATTGGCTGATTAGAAAGTTCACCGGACACAAATTCCTATGGCAGTGACCTCCCACCAGAGAGGTACAGCATTGGTGTAAAACATCTGATTTTAAAGGTACTGTGTTTCTGCGTATTTCTACACCACCTCTGTCTCGGTCTCATTTGGAAACTTAAATCCTCACAAAAGAAATGTTCCCTGTAAGTACTATTCCCCTTCTTGGTGTATATGGCAGGTCGCTAAGAAATGACATGTATCCACAAGACGAGTGACCTTTATTATTCTCCATACAGAACTGTCTGTTCACATATGTTTTCAAGATCAGAAATCAGGTATGTTGTTCCGAATCTTCACTTCCACCTTCGGAGATTTTAGAAGGGTTTGCAAGAAATGTGATGAAGGGAGGTGTTAAATTGTAGCAAAATATCTTAATTCAATATGATTGGGTAATGAACAAAAGCTGAAGTGTCTTAACATAGCTTTCAGAAAATCACCCTTCATTTGTCACTCACTGAAAAGGTCAAAGTCGAAATGTCTTTCCTTACCAACAGAAGACACATCACCTCTAGCTCAATATGTGGAAATCATTTTGTAGGAATAGTATCAATAGTAATCAAGTTCTGTCCCCGGGAGTCCCAATCCCATGTCAGACTATTTTCCATACAAAAAATAAAAATAAAACACTTAAACCCTAAGTAGCAAATGAAATGCTTCATGACTGTGTGCAGTGAATAATGAGGAAATACTGAATGTTTTTTTCATTCTTGTCTTTCTTTCCACTGCGACAAGTGAACATTCTGATGAAAATGTATAATATGCAAAGGGAGATAACTGCATGCAATGAGTCCGTCACACCTAAATTAGTTTCAAACTGAATACATTTTACATGTCAAAGGATAGAGGAAAAAGATTTTGCTACACCCTACACAAAGAATAAAAATGTCCCCAAAACGTCTCAAAATAAACATTTGTCTGTTTCAATAATGACATTCATCCATTTGTATAATAAAACCTTTTTGTGAGATCATGTAAAATTAATGTTAAATGCCCTCGGCATATGGCCAATGAAGATGAAGATGACACAATGAATGGATGACAGCGCTGTAACTGGTAGACTATGGCACAAGTGTTGGGGCTGGAGATGACACGATGAATGGATGACACGCTGTAACTGGTAGACTATGGCACAAGTGTTGGGGCTGGAGATGACACGATGAATGGATGACAAACTGGCCTTCACGAGGGGCATACACACCTGGGAAAATGTCACTGCTGACTGTAAATTTCCACATAAAATAGCTTCTTTTTAAAAACTCTATTGATTTTCTGACAAATTTCTTTAATGTGTGACATATTCAAGGTTTTATGATACGTAATTCTTGTGTATCTGACACAATAAGTTCTTGAAATACTCGAAAAAGTTCTTGATACATGTCATAATCGACACAAAGAATTTGCCAAGGAAATCTAAATTAAGACTGATTATTTACAATATTTTTTAGAGACACTGACTGTTGCTCCACCAGTTGTTTAAAAAAACAACAAATCTAATAACTTAAATGAGACTGAAATAACTTTCATAAGGTAGGAACTTGGAATTTCGACAGTTCAATGGATCGCTGTCGCAATGTGTAACTGGCATGACAACACACCATCCAATCAGCTGGGCGTATTTCTGTCTAGCATCTACTGCAGTCTACTGTATTTGACAGCAAACAAGATTGTCGGGGCAAGTAAAAAAATAGCAGGGTATCAATTCATTTTAAACGACTCCAAAATTTAGAAAATGATCCCCCCAAAGTAGGTGGTGAGTCATTATGAATCCCATTGTCACAAGACTATGTAAAACCCTTATACTCAATGTGAAATAACTGAAATTGATCATCTAATGGCATATTTTGTAACTGTTCCACGGCAATAGTTTTTCATCTTCCCGAGGCAAGAGAGATAACTGACTATAAAAGTCCAGTTTCCACCCTTGCTGAACTTGGCTCGTATTATGGAGTTACAATTTTGCTGGACTAACGAGTCAATGCATAGTCCAATCACAATCGCGCACCGAAATTGAAAACCGGTTTGTTAACTGTCGATTGCAGGATTTGCAAAGCGTGTGCACCACCAACTCATTGTCAGCAGTTATTTTCCAAATCTTTTCATGTTTTTAATCAAGGTGCTCACATGATTTGATGCATTTCACGATGTAAGACACGTTTTATCACAATATATGATTATCGATCAGATTGTCCTGACCAGGGGCCACCATTTTATGTGAAGCAATGGCAAGTGATCCGAGACGTGGAATCTGATTGGTCCATAGGAGAGGCTTAGAAGGGACATAACTGATAATAGCCACTGGTGGCGCTACTATCGAGCCCAGTAATTCCAGCCTAGTTCGGCAAAGGTGGAAACTGGACTTTTACAGTCAGTTAACTCACTGAGATAAACCACACTTAAACATCCTTGGTATATAACTATTATTTTTGTGTGATTTAATACTTTTTTAAACAAAGTTGTGTCATTTTGTACAAATGTAAGGCATTTCAAGTTATTTTGGTGATTTTCACGTCTTTTCAAGGTTGACACTAAAAATCAAGGCCTTTCAAGAGGGAACTTAAATTCAAAGGCCTTTTCAAGCTTGAACGAACCTTGTCAATACAAAGCTATGATGGTGAATGGGTCCGTGGTATATATCATAAGATGCTGGAGATACAATAGACTGGACAATGGGGGGGGGATGAAGAGGAATAATGCTTAACATGTATCCAGGAGCATAGTCAACACAACAGCGTTCCCAAAAACATTTCCACATGCAAAACAACCTGGAATGAACTGGTTTGAAAGTAAAAAACCTTTTCCTCACTGGTAGACAGAAATGGGGTTTCTGAAATTCAAATGCCCTTGCAACTTTTTCAACACACGATGAATGTTTGCCCAAATTTTCTATCCATTGAAATAGTCTCTGCTACAACACAACAGACAATGAAATGTATGCTTGTAAATTTCAGCGAAAAGTTGTCTCAAAATTGTGCTACATTGTTCATATTTGTGATGCAATTAAAACTAGGGTGTTTTTTCCTCAATGATAAAACCTCAACGGACTAATTTCTTTCAAAATTACATGAGACTGAGAAGAAATCTTTGATACAACCATTTCCATGATGTTATCAGACGTGTTTAACCACCAACATGGTTCAATAAGAAAATACCACTCTTCATCTAACGTCAGAAAAATAGACCTTCACATGGCACATGATAAAAATTAGCATATGATGTAATTAGTTGTGATAGCATTTCACAACAAGTCCAATGTTCACACAGTTCAACAAGTGCACTGTAACCATGGCAACACAACTGAATATGTAGTGACCATGGCAACACAATTGAAGTGCACTGTAACCATGGTTACACAACTGAAATGGTACTGAACGACCAACTTGTGCAGGTCACTCACAGCGTCTTCAACAGGTGTCTTGTCCATCGCACTCATTCACTTAAAAAGCAACTAGTTACACAATCTGAAACAGAAATTGAAGAGAAGAATAAACTGATATGACAAAAAATAAAACAAAACTTGTGATCCTGACTTCATTGCAAGTATATATGAAATTGTCCTTGGTTCAAGACATACTACAAGATTGGGACATCTAGACAAGCAGGGTGAGTATTGGGACATCTAGACAAGCAAGGTGGGTATTGGGACATCTAGACAAGCAGGGTGGTTATTGGGACATCTACACAACTAGACAAGCAGGGTGGATATGGGACATCTAGACAAGGAGGGTGGGTATTGGGACATCTAGACAAGCAGGGTGGGTATTGGGACATCTAGACAAGGAGGGTGGGTATTGGGACATCTAGACAAGCAGGGTGGGTATTGGGACATCTAGACAAGCAGGGTGGGTATTGGGACATCTAGACAAGGAGGGTGGGTATTGGGACATCTAGACAAGCAGGGAGGGTATTGGGACATCTAGACAAGGAGGGTGGGTATTGGGACATCTAGACAAGGAGGGTGGGTATTGGGACATCTAGACAAGCAGGTCAGGTATTGGGACATCAAGACATGCAGGGTGGGTATTGGGACATCTAGACAAGCAGGGAGGGTATTGGGACACATAGACAAGGAGGGTGGGTATTAGGACATCTAGACAAGCAGGGTGGGTATTGGGACATCTAGACAAGCAGGGAGGGTATTGGGACATCTAGACAAGCAGGGAGGGTATTGGGACATCTAGACAAGCAGGGAGGGTATTGGGACATCTAGACAAGCAGGGTGGGTATTGGGACATCTAGACAAGCAGGGTGGGTATTGGGACATCTAGACAAGCAGGGTTGGTAATGGGACATCAAGACCACAACAATTATCTTTAACAGTATAAAAAGTTCATAGAGCTAACTTTCTGAGCAGACTTTCAACTATTTGAGGGAGTAAATGAGTTGGGTTCAGTATGATCTAAGACATGTTCAGAAAGGTCTAAGTATGGTCAGAGTGGTCCAACACATGGCCAGGTCTAACCAACATATAGTAGGGTCTAACCCATGTTCAGGTGAGTTCAACCTCATGTCGAGTTTGGATGGTTGGTTTGTTGTTAAACGCCGCACTCAGCATGTTTAGTAGAGTCTAATGAATGTTCAGTAGGATCTAAGCCATGTTCAGCAGGGTCTAGCCCATGTTCAGCAGGGTCTAACCCATGTTCAGTAGGGTCTAACCCATGTTCAGCAGGGTCTAACCCAAGTTCAGCAGGGTCTAATCCCGGTTCAGCAGGGTCTAGCCCATGTTCAGCAGGGTCTAACCCATGTTCAGTAGGGTCTAACCCATGTTCAGCAGGGTCTAGCCCATGTTCAGCAGGGTCTAACCCATGTTCAGCAGGGTCTAACCCAAGTTCAGCAGGGTCTAACCCCGGTTCAGCAGGGTCTAGCCCATGTTCAGCAGGGTCTAACCCATGTTCAGCAGGGTCTAACCCATGTTCAGCAGGGTCTAGCCCATGTTCAGCAGGGTCTAACCCAAGTTCAGCAGGGTCTAACCCTGGTTCAGCAGGGTCTAACCCTGGTTCAGCAGGGTCTAACCCCGGTTCAGCAGGGTCTAACCAATCTTCAGCAGGGTCTAGCCGATGTTCAGCAGGGTCTAACCTATGTTCAGTAGGGTCTAACCCATGTGCAGCAGGGTCTAACCCTGATTTAGCAGGGTCTAGCCCATGTTCAGCAGGGTCTAACCCATGTTCAGTTGGGTCTAGATTAGGTCTAATCAGTAGGGTCTACCTTCATGTAGATTCACTGCTGCTTCACTCAAGGTCATCCATGCTTCTGATGTGTTTGGTCAACCACTTCATCATCCCGAACATCCGAACCCGCTTCCTGCCTGCCACACAAACACAAGGGTTGACACTATGTTCTGTGCCTATTATCAACATTTGATGACCAGATTTGTTTGTTTGTTGTTTAACGCAGCATTCAGCAATATTCCAGCTATATGACGACTGTCTGTAAATAATCAAGTCTGGACCAGACCATCCAGTGATTGATATCATGAGCTTCGATCCACGCAATTTGGATATGATGACATGCATCAACCAAGTCAGCGAGCCTGACCACCTGATCCCATTATTCGCCTCTTGCGACAAGCATGGGTTGCTGAAGATCTATTCTACCCCAGATCTTCATCGGTCTGATGACCAGGGATCAACAGTTCAAACATGGTTTTGAATAAATCTCAAACTGGCTGCAGATTCTCAATTTGATACTAAACTCAATTACTGGTTACTGAGCTGATCAGTGTGGGAGGTACCCTCATTGTCACTCAGTTACCATGGTAACACATTTATAAATATAATATTCAGCTTGTTCAGTCAAAAGGTACATCTCCGTATGTGGCCATGAGAACATAAGAACACTATTTCATAGAAAAAAGACTATCGATATGAAGAGAATAATTACCAAATATCTTTTGTAGTTCTTCGTCACAAACCATAAATTGTTTATTCTTGGGATCCTGAAACACAAGTCATTAGAGCCTACAGGTCTATAAAACAATATACACAACAATGCATTAATAAAAATCAGTTTAAAATTGATAAAACAAAGAACATGCCAAAAAATGTTCCGAATGTTCCCTGAATACACATGTGACATTTTGTGACACCAAGGAGGTCAGACAAACAAAGGAGTGTTAACTGTTGATGTTTGTGTGTTTGTTTGTTATTCTCCATCTAATATACAATCATGTATGTAAGCAAGTATGTTACTTCATGTTTGTTTGTTGTTAAACGCCGCACTCAGAAATACTCCAGCCAAATGACAGCGGTCTGTAAATAATCGAGTCTGGACCAGACAATCCAGTGATTGATATCATGAGCATTGATCCACGTATTTGGGACACCATGACAAGCATCAACCAAGTCAGTGAGCCTGACCCTGTTCGCTGCCTCTTACAACAAGCATGGGTTGTTGCAGACAGACCTTTTCTAACCCGGATCTTCACGGGTCTACGGATGCCTACCTGCAGTTCTCGCTCCCTCATCACCTCCCACATCCGCTTCACTATTTCATGCCGAGACAACTGAAACACAGGACATAAACAGTTGGGAAACATACATGTACCTGTGAAAAAATAGGACCAATACAAGTTTGATCTGTTTTCAAACCAAAAACATACATTTTTTGCTTTCCATTTTGTATTTGTAACCAGTTGAAACCAACAAGCACTGCATACATGTGCAGTTTATTTTGAACAGATATCAGCACAACACTTGTCCTACCTGGTCCTGACCAATGACAGCAGCCAGCTCCGGTGACAGCTGACACGGCTTGCTGTACATGGATGTTCCTGAAGCAAGAGTGAGTGAGTGAGTGAGTGAGTGAGTGAGTGCTGTACATGGATGTTCCTGAAGCAAGAGTGAGTGAGTGAGTGAGTGAGTGAGTGAGTGAGTGCTGTACATGGATGTTCCTGAAGCAAGAGTGAGTGAGTGAGTGAGTGAGTGAGTGAGTGAGTGAGTGCTGTACATGGATGTTCCTGAAGCAAGAGTGAGTGAGTGAGTGAGTGAGTGAGTGAGTGAGTGAGTGAGTGAGTGAGTGCTGTACATGGATGTTCCTGAAGCAAGAGTGAGTGAGTGAGTGAGTGAGTGAGTGAGTGAGTGAGTGAGTGCTGTACATGGATGTTCCTGAAGCAAGAGTGAGTGAGTGAGTGAGTGAGTGAGTGAGTGAGTGAGTGAGTGAGTGAGTGAGTGGGTGGGTGGGTGGGTGAGTGAGTGAGTGAGTGAGTGAGTGAGTGCTGTACATGGATGTTCCTGAAGCAAGAGTGAGTGAGTGAGTGAGTGAGTGAGTGAGTGAGTGAGTGAGTGCTGTACATGGATGTTCCTGAAGCAAGAGTGAGTGAGTGAGTGAGTGAGTGAGTGAGTGAGTGAGTGAGTGAGTGGGTGGGTGGGTGGGTGGGTGGGTGGGTGGGTGGGTGAGTGAGTGAGTGAGTGAGTGAGTGAGTGAGTGAGTGAGTGAGTGCTGTACATGGATGTTCCTGAAGCAAGAGTGAGTGAGTGAGTGAGTGAGTGAGTGGGTGGGTGGGTGAGTGAGTGAGTGAGTGAGTGAGTGAGTGAGTGAGTGAGTGAGTGAGTGAGTGAGTGAGTGAGTGAGTGAGTGAGTGAGTGAGTGAGTGAGTGAGTGAGTGAGTGAGTGGTTTAACACTATAACAATATCACAGCTCATCGCCAATCCTTCACATAACCCCATCTCCATGGCCTAATGGATAGAGTGTCTGCCAGGAAAGACGGTGGTGGTACTTGTTGTTGATCTGACTGGCGCTTGGCATTAAGAGTAGGACTCAAGGACTCGGAGTCAGTACACTGTGTCTGAGGGGTATTCATATTAAACTGCAGCATGGTACCTCAGTGTTCTAGCATGAGTCTGGAATACCACAAGCAGATCCATAACCTCTTATGTTCTCGTACACGGTGATCACATTTAGACTCAATTCCTGACCATGACGCTTACCACCTTCCCCTGATTTATAATATAAGTAGTATGCATGTTGTCTGTTGACACAAACAGGAACTTTCCAGCTTTCCACTGTCATGAAGCCCCATGTTAGATTGCAGAACCTACTCACAATCCTAGTTGTGCCTTTCATTATTATTTCTCCCAGCTCATTAGCATCATTAGCCAAAGAATGATGCAGTCTTTATGACAAATGCTCACATGAATCTTCAGTCAAGGTGAGCAAAACAAAGAGAAAGAAAGAAAATCAACTGAAGATAATACCTTTCCTTTCTTTCTTTTCTTTGGGTTTCCTGGGGGCCTGTGAACAACAAAGTCACACATTCACTGAGTGAGGGAGTGAGCAAAATATCTAGGTACAATTGTAATTCCAGGGTAATTATTCAGGAAAAATACACAGAGGTTTCTTATCAAGGACACAAAGAAACAGCCCATCAGTTGACTGTATAAATCATACCCAGCTCAATGGCAACACATATATACCGTATTCGACATAATAAGCGCCCCACTCTAATAAGCACCCACAGCGATATTTGCTCATATATTGGCTGGTGAACAATCCCAATTAGAACCCTTCTGATTGATCAATGTACACAAGACTTATTTATTCATGTATAATACACCCTCATGTGTTAAATGCACCCTTAATTATGGGCAATTAAATTCTGGAAAAACATATCTGTCATGTATAATACGCACAGACTTTTCTTTTGTATCATTTCAGACTGTAAGCATAAAGAACGAAATTTACGAACTTTTAACCCTTTCACCAAAATTATTTTCTAATGAGAGCCCCCTATTTCTAATTTTGAGAGCGCCCTGGGCGCTTATTACGTTGAATATGTTAATGTAAGATGGAATGAGTGTTTTGAATGCCGCTGTATTGTTTATTCCGAATGGGTAAATCTCTGCGTGAACTGACAAATGATCTACAGGAAGTCGTGTCAGGCGGACATCATAATCAGCCAATCAGGGCCTCGTTCCACAAAGCATTCCTAGCACTATGGTGATCATAACTCCCATACTTTAACAAAGACCTACAACGTTGCATGAGGTGATAATAACGGCAATATGCCACCACACAGGGTGACGTCACCAGAATATCTGAGGTTTGTTTGCTTGGTGTTAAATGCTGCACCTATTCCAGCAATAACCAAGTCTGAACCATGAGATAGGGGTAGGATGACATGCAACCAAGTCACTGAGTATGACCACCCGATCATGTTAATCATGGGTTGCTGAAGACCAACTCTAACTCGGCAAGCCTCGGAGTTTTAAACTGTTCGTGACTCCTGTTGACATATTTGATATCAAGAGATTCTCTATTTGTGTTTGGCTGGATTCTCAGCCCTGTGAATGCCAGTGAAAACATATCAGCCAGGAGTATCAGTAATGATGTGAGGCTGCATCACAAGGTATGTCCTGGTTCACTCCAGTGAGTATATATGTTCAAAACAAAACCTTGTAAGATGTAAGGTCAGATGCAGGGCCACACATTCCCCGTTCCCCCCAACAAAGGAGTCCCGGGGACCTGGGCTTCCCTGGTCTCCCTACAGTGGAATCTCCAGGTGATACCCAGTAATGTACTTTGTCATGCCGTATATGGACATATGTACAGGTGTCCAGATATACATCTTCCCGAGGCAAGGGAGTTAACTGACTGTAAAAGTCCAGTTTCCACCCTGGAATTCCTGGGCTCGATCGTAGCGCCATCAGTGGTTATTACGAGTTATGTCCCTTCTAAGCCTCTCCTATGGACCAATCAGATTCCACCTCTCGTATCACTTGCATTTGTTTCATACAAAATGGTGGCGCCCACTCAGGACAATCTGATCGATAATCAAGATCTATATTGTGATAACACAGGTTTTACCACGCGAAATGCATCAAATCATGTGAGCACCTTGATTAAAATCATGAAAAGACTTGGGAAATATCTGTTGACGAGTTGGCGGTGCAGATGCTTTGCAAATCCTGCAATCGACTGAAATCTGCACAACAGTTTACTAACCGGATTTCGATTTCAGTGAGCGATTTTGATTGGACTATGCATAGACTCATTAGTCCAGCCAAAATGAAAATCCATAATACCAGCCTAGTTTGGCAAGGGTGGAAACTTGACTTTTATAGTCAGTTAACTCCCTTGCCTTGGGAAGATGGATTTGTAGGACATGAACCGATTGTCATTTGATATGTCCTCAAGATATATAATTAGGTAACAATAAGAAAGTCCTTTGAAAAGTTCATAAAATAATGAAAATGTCCTGATGCGTAGTGTCGCCACAAAAAAAAAATTCAAATAAATATTCAGTTTCAACAAACAATGTGACAGAGAAATAGTTAATTATTTTTGTGCTGGATATGACAGCTGTACTCACTACAGGTTTCTTCTGTGGCCGCCGCCGGGTCCTGAGATTCATCTCTTCCTCTTGCTGCAGCTGCTTGGCCAGCACCTCATCATCTACCTGTCACACAGAGGAGGAGCTGGCTGAACATACTGTCAGGGAGGGAGGGAGCTGGCTGAACATACTGTCAGGGAGGGAGGGAGGGAGCTGGCTGAACATACTGTCAGGGAGGGAGGGAGGGAGCTGGCTTAACTTACTGTCAGGGAGGGAGTTGGCTGAACATACTGTCAGGGAGGGAGGGAGGGAGGGAGTTGGCTGAACATACTGTCAGGGAGGGAGGGAGCTGGCTGAACATACTGTCAGGGAGGGAGGGAGGGAGGGAGGGAGGGAGTTGGCTGAACATACTGTCAGGGAGGGAGGGAGGGAGTTGGCTGAACATACTGTCAGGGAGGGAGGGAGCTGGCTGAACATACTGTCAGGGAGGGAGGGAGGGAGGGAGGGAGGGAGTTGGCTGAACATACTGTCAGGGAGGGAGGGAGGGAGGGAGAGAGGGAGGGAGCTGGCTTAACTTACTGTCAGGGAGGGAGGGAGTTTGCTGAACTTACTGTCAGGGAGAGAGGGAGGGAGCTGGCTTAACATACTGTCAGGGAGGGAGGGAGTTGGCTTAACTTACTGTCAGGGAGGGAGGGAGGGAGTAGGCTTAACATACTGTCAGGGAGGGAGGGAGTTGGCTTAACTTACTGTCAGGGAGGGAGAGAGGGAGGGAGTTGGCTTAACATACAGTCAGGGAGGGAGGGAGTTGGCTTAACTTACTGTCAGGGAGGGAGGGAGGGAGCTGGCTTAACATACTGTCAGGGAGGTAGGGAGGGAGTAGGCTTAACATACAGTCAGGGAGTGAGGGAGTTGGCTTAACTTACTGTCAGGGAGGGAGGGAGGGAGGGGGGAGGGAGGGAGGGAGTAGGCTTAACTTACTGTCAGGGAGTGAGGGAGTTGGCTAATCTTACTGTCAGGGAGGGAGAGAGGGAGGGAGTTGGCTTAACATACTGTCAGGGAGGGAGGGAGTTGGCTTAACTTACTGTCAGGGAGGGAGGGAGTTGGCTTAACTTACTGTCAGGGAGAGAGGGAGCTGGCTTAACTTACTGTCAGGGAGGGAGGGAGGGAGTTGGCTTAACTTACTGTCAGGGAGGGAGGGGGGAGCTGGCTTAACTTACTGTCAGGGAGGGAGGGAGGGAGCTGGCTTAACATACTGTCAGCGAGGGAGGGAGTTGGCTTAACTTACTGTCAGGGAGGGAGGTAGGGAGCTGGCTTAACTTACTGTCAGGGAGAGAGGGAGGGAGCTGGCTTAACTTACTGTCAGGGAGGGAGGGAGTTGGCTTAACTTACTGTCAGGGAGGGAGGGAGTTGGCTTAACTTACTGTCAGGGAGGGAGGGAGGGAGCTGGCTTAACTTACTGTCAGGGAGGGAGGGAGGGAGCTGGCTTAACTTACTGTCTGGGAAGGAGAGAGGGAGGGAGCTGGCTTAACTTACTGTCAGGGAGGGAGGGAGTTGGCTTAACTTACTGTCAGGGAGGGAGGGAGGGAGCTGGCTTAACTTACTGTCAGGGAGAGAGGGAGGGAGCTGGCTTAACTTACTGTCAGGGAGGGAGGGAGGGAGTTGGCTTAACATACTGTCAGGGAAGGAGGGAGGGAGCTGGCTTAACATACTGTCAGGGAGGGAGGGAGGGAGCTGGCTTAACTTACTGTCAGGGAGGGAGGGAGGGAGTTGGTTTAACATACTGTCAGGGAGGGGGGAGTTGGTTTAACATACTGTCAGGGAGGGAGGGAGCTGGCTTAACATACTGTCAGGGAGGGACGGAGGGAGTTGGTTTAACATACTGTCAGGGAGGGGGGAGTTGGTTTAACATACTGTCAGGGAGGGAGGGAGTTGGCTTAACTTACTGTCAGGGAGGGAGGGAGGGAGTTGGTTTAACATACTGTCAGGGAGGGAGGGAGGGAGCTGGCTTAACATACTGTCAGAGAGAGAGGGAGGGAGTTGGCTTAACATACTGTCAGGGAGGGAGGGAGCTGGCTTAACTTACTGTCAGGGAGGGAGAGAGGGAGGGAGTTGGTTTAACCTACTGTCAGAGAGAGAGGGAGGGAGTTGGCTTAACTTACTGTCAGGGAGGGAGGGAGGGAGCTGGCTTAACATACTGTCAGGGAGGTAGGGAGGGAGTAGGCTTAACATACAGTCAGGGAGTGAGGGAGTTGGCTTAACTTACTGTCAGGGAGGGAAGGAGGGAGGGGGGAGGGAGGGAGGGAGTAGGCTTAACTTACTGTCAGGGAGTGAGGGAGTTGGCTAATCTTACTGTCAGGGAGGGAGAGAGGGAGGGAGTTGGCTTAACATACTGTCAGGGAGGGAGGGAGTTGGCTTAACTTACTGTCAGGGAGGGAGGGAGTTGGCTTAACTTACTGTCAGGGAGAGAGGGAGCTGGCTTAACTTACTGTCAGGGAGGGAGGGAGGGAGTTGGCTTAACTTACTGTCAGGGAGGGAGGGGGGGAGCTGGCTTAACTTACTGTCAGGGAGGGAGGGAGGGAGCTGGCTTAACATACTGTCAGCGAGGGAGGGAGTTGGCTTAACTTACTGTCAGGGAGGGAGGTAGGGAGCTGGCTTAACTTACTGTCAGGGAGAGAGGGAGGGAGCTGGCTTAACTTACTGTCAGGGAGGGAGGGAGTTGGCTTAACTTACTGTCAGGGAGGGAGGGAGTTGGCTTAACTTACTGTCAGGGAGGGAGGGAGGGAGCTGGCTTAACTTACTGTCAGGGAGGGAGGGAGGGAGCTGGCTTAACTTACTGTCTGGGAAGGAGAGAGGGAGGGAGCTGGCTTAACTTACTGTCAGGGAGGGAGGGAGTTGGCTTAACTTACTGTCAGGGAGGGAGGGAGGGAGCTGGCTTAACTTACTGTCAGGGAGAGAGGGAGGGAGCTGGCTTAACTTACTGTCAGGGAGGGAGGGAGGGAGTTGGCTTAACATACTGTCAGGGAAGGAGGGAGGGAGCTGGCTTAACATACTGTCAGGGAGGGAGGGAGGGAGCTGGCTTAACTTACTGTCAGGGAGGGAGGGAGGGAGTTGGTTTAACATACTGTCAGGGAGGGGGGAGTTGGTTTAACATACTGTCAGGGAGGGAGGGAGCTGGCTTAACATACTGTCAGGGAGGGACGGAGGGAGTTGGTTTAACATACTGTCAGGGAGGGGGGAGTTGGTTTAACATACTGTCAGGGAGGGAGGGAGTTGGCTTAACTTACTGTCAGGGAGGGAGGGAGGGAGTTGGTTTAACATACTGTCAGGGAGGGAGGGAGGGAGCTGGCTTAACATACTGTCAGAGAGAGAGGGAGGGAGTTGGCTTAACATACTGTCAGGGAGGGAGGGAGCTGGCTTAACTTACTGTCAGGGAGGGAGGGAGGGAGTTGGTTTAACCTACTGTCAGAGAGAGAGGGAGGGAGTTGGCTTAACTTACTGTCAGGGAGGGAGGGAGGGAGTTGGCTTAACTTACTGTCAGGGAGGGAGGGAGGGAGCTGGCTTAACTTACTGTCAGGGAGGGAGGGAAGGAGAGAGGGAGGGAGCTGGCTTAACTTACTGTCAGGGAGGGAGGGAAGGAGAGAGGGAGGGAGCTGGCTTAACTTACTGTCAGGGAGGGAGGGAGTTGGCTTAACTTACTGTCAGGGAGGGAGGGAAGGAGAGAGGGAGGGAGCTGGCTTAACTTACTGTCAGGGAGGGAGGGAAGGAGAGAGGGAGAGAGCTGGCTTAACTTACTGTCAGGGAGGGAGGGAGCTGGCTTAACTTACTGTCAGGGAGGGAGGGAGGGAGCTGGCTTAACTTACTGTCAGGGAGGGAGGGAGGGAGTTGGCTTAACTTACTGTCAGGGAGGGAGGGAAGGAGAGAGGGAGGGAGCTGGCTTAACATACTGTCAGGGAGGGAGGGAGGGAGGGAGGGAGGGAGTTGGCTTAACTTACTGTCAGGGAGGGAGGGAGGGAGGGAGGGAGTTGGCTTAACTTACTGTCAGGGAGGGAGGGAGGGAGCTGGCTTAACTTACTGTCAAGGAGGGAGGGAGTCCGCTTAACTTACTGTGAGGGAAGGATCTGGCTGAACATACTGTCAGGGAGAGAGGGAGGGAGTTGGCTTAACTTACTGTCAGGGAGGGAGGGAGTTGGCTTAACTTGCTGTCAGGGAGGGAGGGAGGGAGTTGGCTTAACTAGGCTTACTCTGCTTTGACGGAGGGAGTTGGCTTAACTACCGGTAGGCTTAAGTAGGACAGCAGTGGAAACATTTTTAGTCCACTTGTCTTCATAATGATAACATACAGCAAAACTCCTCAAAATGGCAAATTTTCTACTAGACCTTATAATACTTTAACTATTGCGCAGTATGACAAGGACTTCAGGACGGGTGCCAAATTCTAATGTTGGGGGTGTTGGCTTCACGAGGCATAAGTTTTCCCTGAAGGAATTGAAGGTGTCTGCACTGAGGGAATTGGCTTAACTCGGCTTAAGTCTGTGCTGAGGGAGTGAGAGAGGGAGTTAGCCTAACAGGACACGACACACCATCAACATCAATTAGCCTCTTATGGTGAGCATAGATTGCTGTGAAGCACTTCTAACCCGGAATGCCAATATGTAACGCAGGCTCCATAGTGTGTGGGAACCGGTGCTACAGCTGGTACACAAATCACTACTTTCACTTCATCAGCTTGTTGCCAATTAGCATCGCAAATATTAACTAATGATGAAGATGATATGTCTACCTCATGTATCGATACATACTTTGAGTGATGATACAATATGCATCACAATGCAAAATTTGTACTGTTTTTGCTTGAACTTAGTGTTCAATGCAACATTGAAAATATCTTTCCTGAACCTTTCCTATTTCTATGGACGTATTACAGTTAAATAAGTTCATATGGAGCCTGATACAATGAAACAGCAGTGTTTAGCACCAAGTTAAAACAAACAAGTATAATTTAGAAAATGAGTAAATTTTACTTTTAAAACATGAATTGATCCATTGGTAGGCATGTTGTGCATTGTATCGTCAGGTGTAAGCAATCAGTTCATTACTGTATCATTGCATCCCGAATGGAGACTTACCTCATCATCATCATCGTCTGATAATGCACTGTCTGATGTCTTCTTAGGCTGAAACAGAAATGTTCAGCAATGGTACCATAACATGAACCATATGCAAGTCTGTGTGAGGTGAGGTGAGGTGAGGTGAGGTGAGGTGAGGTGAGGTGAGGTGAGGTGAGGTGAGGTGAGGTGAGGTGAGGTGAGGTGAGGTGAGGTGAGGTGGTGAGGTGAGGTGAGGTGAGGTGAGGTGAGGTGAGGTGAGGTGGGTTTAACATCGCGTTCAAGATTATTGCACTTATATAGCAACTTGCATAGTGCTAGCCCAGTGAGATACCATGCCGCAGTTTAACATGAACACCCTACTCAGACACAGTATACTGACTTCATGCCGACCAGTCCTTGTTTCATCCCCTTACTGCCAAGCACCAGACAGGGTAACAAGATGTACCATCTTTTAACATCTTTCAGTATAGCATGGCCAGGGAACGAATCCCCGACCTTCCACACTCTGACGGACAGTAAGTCTGTGCCCAAATTAAACAGTGAAATCCCATTGGATCATACAAATGAATCACAACAGTTGCATGGGTTCCATCTGACAGCCTGCATAAATCACATGTACCGACTCTATTAGAGTATTACAGATCATCTGTCCCTCATGAATTAATGTTTTAAAAATAATTTCAATTGGGAATCGAGCAGATCCACAATTCCTCATTTCTGGTAGGTTATTCTGTAAATATTGGAGATATCTGGTCATGCGACCGCTGCTCCTAAAAGTCTTGTACCTGTGGTTTCTTTTCAACTTTCCTCTTCTTTATGACTGGAACAGGATCGGGCTGAAACACATCACACATATCTCAATACAAAACACATCACACACATCTATATACAAAACACATCACACATATCTCAATACAAAACACATCACACACATCTCTATACAAAACACATCACACATATCTCTATACAAAACACATCACACATATCTCAATACAAAACACATCACACACATCTCTATACAAAACACATCACACACATCTCTATACAAAACACATCACACATATCTTTATACAAAACACATCACACACATCTCAATACAAAACACATCACACACATCTCAATACAAAACACATCACACACATCTCAATACAAAACACATCACACACATCTCAATACAAAACACATCACACACATCTCTATACAAAACACATCACACACATCTCAATACAAAACACATCACACACATCTCAATACAAAACACATCACACACATCTCTATACAAAACACATCACACATATCTCTATACAAAACACATCACACACATCTCTATACAAAACACATCACACACATCTCTATACAAAACACATCACACACATCTCAAAACAAAACACATCACACACATCTCTATACAAAACACATCACACATATCTCAATACAAAACACATCACACACATCTCAAAACAAAACACATCACACACATCTCTATACAAAACACATCACACACATCTCAATACAAAACACATCACACACATCTCTATACAAAACACATCACACATATCTTTATACAAAACACATCACACACATCTCAAAACAAAACACATCACACATATCTCTATACAAAACACATCACACATATCTCTATACAAAACACATCACACACATCTCAAAACAAAACACATCACACACATCTCAATACAAAACACATCCCACATATCTCTATACAAAACACAGCACACATATCTCTATACAAAACACATCACACACATCTCAATACAAAACCTAGCATCCAGAGTCCAAATTGTATCATCAGTTCATGGACAGATTTCTGCCAAGCCTGTGCTTGGTCATTGTTTGTGTGTTGTTTACCATTGTGTCATGCCCTTCTATGTAATATTTCTGCTATATCACAGAATATAACGATGACTTGTAACCAGATCTTGCTCATAATATCATCACTGGTTCATCTCATGAGCCTGAAATATTTTTAGAACCAAGAAGATCCAGGCTAGAATTGGTATTCAGTAACTTATGCTTATCATAAGACTAAGAGACAACTAACAGGATCGGGTGGGCACTCTCACTGACTTAGGTGATTCATGTCATCATGACAAAATTACATAGATAAATGCTGATGATGTCAATCACTGGATTGTCTAGCCCATACTTGCTTTTTTACCAACCACTGTCATATAGCTGGAATATTTCAGAGTGCGGCATTAAACATTAAACAACGAACAAACAATTATTTTCAAGGCCTTATCAAGTAGCTGGAATATAGAATAAGGCGAGCAGAGCTGGGTAAGCTCGGGGGTTATCGACTATTGTTTACAAATCTTCAGAACGGTTGACTTCCCATCCCTCTACGGATCAGGTCACATTCCACAACAAGTTGTTAGCCCCATGATGAACGTAACTCACATGTTCTAACATAATTTGACGATAGTCTAAGCGCTAAGATGGCTTTTTTTATGGGTATCATTCATTCACTCAGATAAACCTCAATATCTCGTTTGTTATTCTGTAAACATTCTCACTGCATCAAACGATGAATCGGAGTCGTCTCCCATGTCTTCTGCATCACTTGTGTCTTTTTTCGCCCGGCCATTTTGTGTCATGTGATCATTGCCTTTTGATTTTATGTTGGTTGTTTTCCTTGATTTTGACTTAGGTTCTTCTTCTTGCTCCTCCTTCTCTTCCTCCTCTTGTCCTTCCGTAATCATCTTCATGGTAAGGGCATCGATCTCTTGTTTCCTGTGAACCCAAAAACACATCGTAACACGATCCCACCTTTAACGTGATCTGCCTTATTTATTGCAAACAGTCGCCTAAAGTGATGCAATTCACTGAGCAGAGTTGCTTCCCTTGGGCACGCCAGTAACCTGAAATCATGGGTTTGAGTCCCAGTTTGCACTGATTATGTTCCTAGGTTTGTCAGCACTATACCCATGAGAGTGGCTTTCACCAAAGTGGTTAATGTCTGAGACTTTCTTTCCTTCTGGTTTTCCCAACACATTAAGCTGACACGCCATGATGGAATACCCAACTAACTCACTGCAAACAGTGGTGCATGGTGATGGAACTAAAGTGAGTGAGTGAGTTAGGTTTTACGTCACATCGGGTGAAAATAAAGATGCTGTCGGCATACGAATCAATTAATGGGATAACTCAAATTCACATATTTTAGAAGGCTGACAGACCGCTGTCCATTTCCTGTCAAATTCGAGACCTTGTAATCAGTAGACGACAGTGCCATGTGTGTTACCCAGACACTAGCTTTGCATGATTAGGCCGAGCTCCAGACAAGCTGCGTATTTGTGCAAACATCACAAAATATATCACCATTACCCAATCAATTTTGAGTTGCGAGCGTAGAAATATGCATGGAAACAGTTTCTTAAAATAGTATACCACCACTTCGAGTTGCTGACCAATGTATTTGTTTCAACTTGTGTATACTCGGACCTCGTGGTACTGTGGCATTCATCGTATCGCGGCACTTGTGATTTCCGGTAGTTCACCTGGGACACGCCTCTTAGCGGCTGTCTTTTAATGCAAATCAGTAACCAGGAAGTGCTTGCTTTGCAAACAATTTCAATTTCCTCTAAATGTTCCGTCTGCTGTATGTAAGGAGTTATTAACGCGTTGATACTTACTTCTGGCATCTTTTTTAATATTGCCATACCCCCATCTATCATTGGACAATGATATAACCTGCAATTTCCCAAGGAGACTTTCTCTATTGACCTGAACTAGATCATCTGCATATTCATGGCGACTAATAAGGTAACGGAAGTTACGTAGTCCTCACATTTTCCCCCCTCTCTGTGCCCAGAATCTGTTAGGAGATCATAAGGGCCATAATGCCATACTTAGAAATACGTTCTTCAATAGTAGCCAAAAGATAAATACATACTTTGGGCATACTAGGAGTGCTTTTTATTTATTTATTGTTGACTTTTAACATTTTTCCAATTTTTTTTAACAAATTATTGTCATCCAATTCATTTCTGATATTTTGTTGATGTTTTTGTTTTATTTTTCTCCTACTTTTCGGTAAATATACATTGATAACCTATTACTGATAGAATTTTAGAATTTTACTTGTGCTGTCTTTGCACTTGTCTGAACAAATCACTGAAGTACGGCATCATCATACTATATGGTTGGTAGAATTATGTCCTCTTTTGTCCAATTCGGACCTCCATACACAACTTTTCTCTGTACCGCGATATGATGGAGTTCTCTCCCTTGTCAAACAGAGCGCGAGGCCCGGGTTTTACTCGGAGCTACTAATGTAAATAATGAACTTTTATCAGTAAGATATGCATTGTTTGATAAAATAAATGATATCTGATATAGAGAACACGAATAATCATAAAGGTTAGTGAGTGCATTTTGTTCCGTTTAGCGTACATGACAAGTATCGCGATACCCCGAGGTTGCAGGCTAAATGAGTAAATGTGCACTGGGGAAAAAAATCTCTGGAGGTAGGTAAATTAACTGGAAGGTTGATGTGCAGAATATAATGTATTTTTAAAATGAAAAATTCAAGACAATCAAATTGATTCTTCAGCTCTTCAAATAGTAGGTACACTGTAGAAGATATGTAGGCCTGCATGTAGACATGTATCCTACCTCAATAATTGATAGATGAAGCCATTACTTAACATATACAAACAAAGCATTACGCCATTTAACACTTACAGAAACAAATACAAATTTATTGTAATTAAAGGAGGAAATATCGATTCAGGAATAGAAACAGTTCCGTTTGTGCCTGTTTACACTAGGCGACAATAAACAGTCGCCATAGCGAGAATCGGGGAGTAAACACGTGTGGTTTCGCGACATCGCCCATCCGGTTCTCACGTGGTGACAACAAAATGTTTGTTTTGATCCCGTTTAGTGTAAACAAAACACATGCTATACAAATTGCTTGATAAGCGCTTAAATCTTTTGCAGGTAAACTAAAATATTTATCTGTTTCTACTTATTTTTCAACAAATTACCTCGCTGTAAGGTCGATTCCGAATGTATCTTCCAATTTTCGCCGAACTTTCTTCGCCGACAAAGAGTCGAGGTCGGCATCTTTCAAAATGTCTGAAAATTGAAATGGCAGAAAATACATTCAAATGATATAGGTTGCTTGTTGAATCTATCACTTTGATTTTATGTTCTCAACCATAATCTCAGCTGCATAACTTACTTTTAATGGCTTTCTTTAATTCTCCTGTTTTCACTGAGGCCGCCATGATGCAGATTCACACCAAGGGAAGTTACTCTAAATCTTTGTTAAAAATCGCTTTTTATCGTGGACGAAAACAAAAGGGGTTCGAATCCACGGAGAAAAATATTACGCGCTGTGGACTAGATCAAATGTTTATTAGGCGTGTAAGCTTGCCCCTTCACAAAAGGTTCGCAAAATCTGCATAATTTAAGAAATGGGCTAAAAATTATATTTGTATTGTTAAGTTTTAAAATGTATTCATATTAACACTAAATATACTCATAAGGATTAAATGCATTTTTCACAAATTGAGCATGAGCATATATTTGTCAAAAGCACGTAAGAAAGTCTTCTTAAGATATGAAGATAAAAACAGTTTATACAAACGCATGAAAGATCGTTATCCTACTTTTTCCTTTGTAAAAAGGTTTTCAAAATGTTGATTTTAGATGTTTACAGGACCGTCGGTTTCTATACATGTAACAGGGATGAATTTAGTGATTTTATATCGTGTACATAAATATAATTTTAATCATTTTTAGCTTATTTCAGGTTTTAGTGATCTGGCAGACGACGACAAGTTTGTGTGTGTGTGTGTGTGTGTGTGTGTGTGCGCGTGCGTGCGTGCCTGCATGCATGTATGTATGTATGTATGTATTTTTGTAGCCTGCAACCTCGGGGTATCGCGGTACTTGTCATGTACGCTAAACGGAACAAATTGCACTCACTAACCTTTATGATTATTCGTGTTCTCTATATCAGATGTCATTTATTTTATCTAACAATGCATATTTTACTGATAAAAGTTCATAATTTACATTAGTAGCTCCGAGTAAAACCCGGGCCTCGCGCTCTGTTTGACAAGGGAGAGAACTCCATCGTATCGCGGTACAGAGAAAAGTTGTGTATTGAGGTCCGAATTGGACAAAAAGAGGACATAATTCTACCAATTACTTGGTACGATCATGCCAGACATCAGTGATTTGCCCAGACAAGTGCAAAGACAGCACAAGTAAAATTCTAAATGTGTTATCAGCAATAGGTATTCAATGCATATTTACCGAAAAGTCAACATCAAAATATCAGAAATGATATTTTAAGATTGTTTAAAAAAAATTAGATGGCAATAATTTGTCACAAAATGGAAAAATGTTAAAAGTCAACAATAAATATATAAAAAGCACTCCTAGTATGGCCAAAGTATGTATTTATCTTTTGGTTACTAGTGAAGAACGTATTTCTAAGTTTGAAATTATGGCCCTTATGATATCCCAATAGATTCTGGGCACAGAGCGGGAAAAAATGTGCGGACTACGTAACTTCCGTTACCTTATTAGTCGCCATGAATATGCAGATGATCTAGTTCAGGTCGATCGAGAAAGTTTACTTGGGGAACTACGGGTTATATCATTGGCCATTGATAGATGGGGGTAAGGAATATTACAAAAGATGCCAGAAATATGTATCAACGCATTAATAACTCCTAACTTACAGCAGACGGAACATTCCGAGGAAATTGAAATTGTTTACGAAGTGTGCACTTCCTGGTTATTGATTAGCATTAATAGACAGCTGCCAAGAGGCGTGTCCCGCGTGAACTATCGGAAATCACAAATGCCGCGATACGATGAATGCCGCGGTACCATGGGGTCCGAGTATATGTATGTATGTATGTATGTATGTATGTATGTATGTATGTATGTATGTTGCAATTAGTTGTCCGATTGCCTCCGATTATGTTTACTGCACAGTTCTGTGTCACAGGGTATATAGTCTATTTGGGTTGATCTATTCTTATGAAGAAGAAGAAGAAGAAGAGGAAGAAGAAGAAGAAGAACATATTTTATTTATGTGTCACATGTTGTATGTGTACACATTAACCATAAATAACCTTACATACAATATCAGGCCATAAAAGGCCATTGAGACACAATGAACAATGAAAAACATTATTTACATAAAAGAAATACGACTTGCGGGATTGCGAAACCCAATAAATTTTTTACAATTTTAAGTAATGAAATGTGGCCTACGTGCAAACATTTTTTTTATAAATAAGTGCGGCAAGAGGTTATATGTATACGTGTTACAATTCATTAAGAACACTGGTCCACAGGAGAGAATGAAATAAATGGAGGATCAGACTTTATTAACCATAAATCATATCATATCATATCTTAAGTCAGAATAAAATGGACAATTAACGTGAAAATGTATCTCATCTTCTACAGCGTTATTGTTACATAATTTACAAATTCTACCCTGTAAAGGTGTGATAGGTTTAGCAAATCTACCAAATTCAACTTGTAAGGGTAATGTGCCGCAGCGTAACTTGCTATAAGGATACTACGATGGGACCTGTTCATAACACATGTAACATTGGGTTCAGCTGACAGCGAATGTTTGAACAATCTATAAATACGAAGCTTTCTATTTATGTCATTATCTTTGGTGTCTTAACAATAGCCCAGGCCCAACTTCTCAGTTGATTGGTCCTGTATCACATTTCCATGTCATCCGCCATGTTACTAACCAGTTGCACTGTGTGGGGACTGGGCACCAGTTGTAATATTGCCCAGTTCGAAGGTGAGTTATTATACATTTTAGTTGTTATATAACTTGTATATTAAAGTCTAATATAAATCATTGCATAAAATAGGTATAAATATGTTCATGATAAACCTAATGTAAGTATATACACAATCTTCCACTGTATAAATGTGCGCATAGTTTGTTTTCTATGTTTAATCTGGTCAATATGCTGGCTAGTAATTCTTGTTTTGTAACTGTTTTGTATGATGTTATGATGTATGATTGATATATCTCATCAATCCTGTATTGTAGAATTTCATAGTGGTAGTTACAATTATGAATATATGTTTCAGTGAGTTTAATGGTAGCCATTTATCTCTTATCTAGTTGACCAGAAAACACGTGATCAGTGTTTTGTCCTTTATATAGGATTCCTGCACGCGTTTTGCTGTCCCGCTACTGGGTACGGGGACACACTCCCGTGTCACCCATAGGGTAGGTGTCTGGCCACTTACTTTATAGTCTGTTTCATTATTATGCCGTGTTAATAGGATAGTCTTTATGTCAACATATATTTTGTTCATCACGTGTAAACGTGATCATATAAAGTCACCTGTATCATTTTGTTTTATTGTGTTATACCTGTATATGATTATAGACAGCCACATTTATGTACTTTGTTCATCATGATGTTATATGTTGTGTGATTTTATTATATGTATATTGTTTATTTATTAGTATTACAGAGTGTCTGCTCCAACTACCACGGAATAAACAGATATAGCATCACAAGCCGTAGCCTGTAGTTTATGTAATAAACAGATATAACATCACAAGCCGTAGCCTGTAGTTTATGTAATAAACAGATATAACATCACAAGCCGTAGCCTGTAGTTTATGTAATAAACATTTATAACATCACAAGCCGTAGCCTGTAGTTTATGTAATAAACAGATATAACATCACAAGCCGTAGCCTGTAGTTTATGTAATAAACAGATATAACATCACAAGCCGTAGCCTGTAGTTTATGAACGTAACCCATACCACCACTATCTCATGGCTGCAACATACATTAACATGAACAAGTCTTTGACTAAAACCCCCGTGAAGATCCAGGTTAGAATTGGTCTTCAACCCATGCCTGTCGTAAGAGGCGACTAACGGGATCGGGTGGTCAGACTGGTAAGGCTCGGTGATTTGGTTAATGCATAATCATCGTCTCCCAAAATGCGTAGATCGATGCTCATGATGTCAATCACTGGATTGTCTGTCCCGGACATGATTATTTACACACCACCGTCACACAGCTATCTATTATTTACATGTTTAAATATCCACCTAAAACGATCTCCATGTCCCTCGAAGACACGAAATATACAGAAATGGTATATAACTGTTACGCGATGATTTGTTGTATATATTTGATCAAGTGGATAATATTTCTATCAGAATTTGAAATAATGGTCCACGATACTTTATTATTGAATAAATAAAAAGTGACGAAGTTACACACTTAATCCATGAGAAAGTTGTGAGCCGGCTTTTGTTGAGAATAATATCATTAAGCATTTAGATGGCCAGGAAAATGCAAACTGTACTTTATGGGAAGATCTGGCATGCCAAGATTTTAGGATTGTATATTATGGTTTCTTTAGTTGCCGTATACGGTGTCATATTAGGTTAGCAGGAAAATATTTTACACTATCTGGTATCCATATCGCACATGTCGAGTCAAATGAAAACTTGACACTTTCTTTCGTTGACTTTAACCTAAGAGTCCAAACCTTGTTGACAATTTTAACTATAATCTTTATGAATAAAGTCACAAACATGTCCTAAAAAAAGATTAATGTCCTTGCACATCACAATTAATGACATAAAAACACAAAACATTGTCGAATAACGAATTTACCAGAATTTTCACGTGAAATATGTGAAATGGGTGTTGGAAATCCAAGATGGCTGTTACTGACGGTATACGGTCTCATATCTTGGATTACACCACATTATACGGGCTGTTGTTCTGCTCTCTGATTGGTCAATCTAACTTTCAGGCATGATAAAGTTGTAAGTACGTTCGGTGAAAAATACTACTCAAAAGTTGTTAAAGAATACACGAATCTTTCATATTACTATACAGTCCAACTGAGTTGTGTCGAAGTTGAAGGGACCTACGTTATAAATACTTCGGGTTATCCGAGGTTCGACATAAATGATAAATAAAGAAGGAATACGAGCGGACCATGCTTTTACTTCGAGACAACCGTGAGGTCGACACAACGGTATTTAAGATGTCATGTGTCGGGGTTCTTTGACTTCTTTTATGTTCTTTTTAAAATGTGTATATCATAAATGGACGATTTGGTCCGAATTCGGGATTAGGGATTTTCAACTTATTGGCAGTAGAGGTGACATCATTGTAGACTATATCATCACTTGAGGGTTTGTTTTACATGAAGCAGAATAGTGAATACTTTACGCATAACAACGGCTAGCCACTGCTAGTACCATTGGACGCTATAGAGTATGGATGTTGGAATGATTGTAACTAATTGAATTGAAGCATGTATACGTGAGATTTATCTGATATTTCTGTTCTCATAAGAAACACAAGCAATGTGTGGACAGTCCACGTCAGATATTCTTCATTCAATCACGTTTTGATTCAAGCAAGGAACTCCCCGTCTACAATAAGCATAAGAAGGCAGACATGCTTTGTACATTTTAGCGTTGATTCGGTGTGACCACCTTAAGATTCCCATTCAGATGCCAAGGACTCTGGGCTCTCATTTCAATGCCCCGTGCCCCACTTTCAATGTGCCCAACTTTCAATGTGCCCCACTTTCTATGTGCCCCACTTTCAATGTGCCCCACTTTTAATGTGCCCCACTTTCAATGTGCCCCACTTTCAATGTGCCCCACTTTTAAAGCATTGTACCCGGTGTTCGAAAGAAACAAATTGCCAGGCTGCCATCAGAACCCACAGACTTTAGAAGCTTTCAGACCCAAACTAAATTCTTCAGGCCCTCGTTTAAATACAAAAACAAATAATAGACACGGAAATTTACTGCAGGCCAGAACGCACCAAGAGTCCCGAGCACTCACGAGTAAATAGACCAAGGAAAGTCACTGTCACGTCATCATGTTTAGACACCGTGTCTCGAACCGAATCCAAACATGTTCCAGTTGTGACTGAGTTACGAGCGCTTCTTTCACGTACAACTGATACTTGTGGGAGTGTGGGTTTACCACGTCCAGCTTTGTTTGGAACAGCAACGAAGCGCATGTTTCTAATCAATATTTCATCAAATGAAACTATAGGCCGAGTAGACAAAGCTCTCACATGTATGGAAACAGGACCAGGTATATGGCTATCTCATTTAATTCCAACCTTTACGATACGTACTTCTTCACACAGCGGCATCGTATCTGAGTGAAAGAGCTAGTTGTGTTTTAGCTTTGCTACACATACATATACTGTGTAATATGCATTATGTACTGCAGAGGAAACACGAGGAACATGTCCAAGGTATTCGATAATGAATGTCATAATCTCACTCACAAGATCTATTAATAACAATCAAAATGTATATTAATTCAAATCAATAATCTCACTGTTTGAGAAAAATGAAAGAGGTCAATAAGCAATTACTCAATGCATCTTGGCTTTACCATTACGCAGTGTGTCTGTGTTGACAGTGTTTGATCAGGCCTGGATACAGAGTCAGTTGTGGAAACAGATCACGAACTGCACATATTCTCCTGCAGTGGGCTACTTTATCAACCAACTCAGGAACCCTTTCACGATTTCATTCATGGCGGACCGACTCTGTGGTTCAGTGGTAGAGCGTCCGCCCGGAGAGGGGAAGGTCGGGGGTTCGATCCCCGGCCGCGTAATACCCCAAAACGTTAAAAGATTGTATTTGTTGTTACCCTGCCTAGAGTCAGTTTACTGAGTCTAAGTGGGGTATTCATTTTAAACTTTGGCATGGTATCTCATGGCATTATAAATTCGGCATTAGTCCGGACTAATACAAGCGCACGTATGCACGCACGCACGCACGCACGCACACACACACGCATACATACACGTTGCTGTCTGTATAAGTGGAATAACCTTCAACGCGACCTAATACCCCATTTCACCTCACCACAATCTGGGGGGCGGTCGGGTAGCCTAGTGGTTAAAGCGTTAGCTCGTCACGCCGAAGACCCGGGTTCGATTCCCGACGTGGGTACAATGTGTGAAGCCCATTTCTGGTGTCCCCCGCCGTGATATTGCTGGAATATTGCTAAAAGCGGCGTAAAACCATACTCACTCACTCACTCACCACAATCTGGGCGACCACCAAAATAAAAATGTCAACATGGCGTTCACAAGCTAATAGGTTACATTGTATCAGCCGTTTAGGTGCTTACACAATGGTAAAGCTTTCATAATACGAATAACAACGCAAGGCAGCATGTCTCAGTCTGGGGTCTGCGTGATGGTTAATATCATTGTCTTGTAATGTGTCACATCTCTGACACAAGATATATGTCACATGTGACGTGTGAGTGGTCATTTGGGATTTAGACGGCAAGGCGAAAAGGTTAACTTTGTCAAACACAATTAGTAATGTCAGACAACGTGCGCGAAAAGGGAGTATTGAATTGACCTGACTTTATCATCCATCGGTATGTACATGCGGATGTTTTTGTTGGGGCTAATTTTCATGTCCTGTCACAGTGCCATATCAAATGCGCACTGTATCTAGTTCATTTGGAGGGTCTGGCACTTTACAGCAGTCATCATCATCACCATCACCATCGTCGTCAACGCCGTAGTCGTCACTACTACTACTACTACTACTACTACTACTACTACTACTACTACTACGACGACGACGACGACGACCACTACTACTATTACTACTACTACCGCTGATGCTGCTACTACTACTACTACTACTACTACTACTACTACTACCACCACTACTACTATTACTACTACTACTACTACTACTACTAGTGCAACGACTTCTTCTTCTACTACTGCTGCTACTACTACTACTAGTAGTACTTCTACTACAACTACGACTACTAATACGACGACGCCGACAACTTCTACTGCAACTGCTTCTGCTACTACCACTGTTACTACTGCTATCACAACTACTACAACGACTACTACAACTACTTCTACTATAACAACAATTACAACAACTTTACTTAGACAACAAAAACAAAAACAACAACAACTACTACTACTACTACTACTACTACTACTACTACTACTACTACTACTACTACTACTACAACTACTACTACTTTCGCTCGTCACGTCGAAAACCCGCGTTCGATTCCCCACACGGGTAAAATGTGTGAAGCCCATTTCTGGTGTCCCTCGCTGTGATATTGCTTGAACATAGCTAACAGCGGCGTAAAACACTACTCACTCACTACTACTACCTCTACTACTGCTACGGCGACGACGATCACTACGACTACGTCTAGGGCTACTACGACTACGACTTCTTCTACTAATACTGCTGTTGCTACTACTACTTCTATTGCGACGAAGACTACTACGACTACGACGACGTCGACTACTACTGCTAAACCGCTGCTTCTACTACCACTATTTAGACGATTACTACTACTGCAACTGCTTCTGCTACTACCACTATTACTACCACTTACACGACGACTACTACAACGACTACTACTACCACTATCACGACGACTACTACGACGAATAGGACTACTACTGCTGCTACGACGACAACTACAACTTCTATAACTGCTGCTGATTCTGCTTCTACTACCACTATTATCACGACTACTA